CCGCAGCCGCCAGCAGCCGCCCCCCCGCCGCCCGCCCTGCCCCCGCGCCCCTGCGCGGCCGCCGCCGGCCGCGGCGCAAAGTCCACCACCACGGCGGAGCGGTCGGCGAAGCGGCGCAGCTTCTTGGCCGGGTGCCGCAGCAGCGCGGCGGCCGCGTTGGCGGTGCTGACAGACTGGATCAGGGCTGCTGCTTTATGGAAGGTTTCGAAAGAGTCCCACACGCCGTCGGTGGCCACAATCAGGCGGCACGGCCTATCAGGGAGCCACACCTGGCGCAGGCTGGGGTAGGGGATCACCGCGTTGCTCGCGCCCTCCCCGCCCTGCTCGTTGCCGCCGCCGCCTCTGTCGTCACCGCAGCAGCTGCCGAGCCACCTGGAGTGGCGCAGGCCGCCCGGCCAGACGCGCAGTGGGCCGCAGCCGTCCTCCCCCTGTTGGCTGGGCCCTGAAAGGTCGAGGCGCGCGCGTGCGACCTGGGCGCCAGCTGCGGGTGCGGCCAAGGGGGTGACGAAAGGGAGAGCATGGTGCCGTGCGCGTGAGGGCGATGCGAGGGTGCCGCGACCACAGGCGCTTCGGTGCGCGAGCCAAGCCTGCTCACGCCGCGCCGTGCTCTAGTTTGCCAACGCGCACGCCCGCATGCGAGCGCGCGCGCACACACACACACACACACACACACACACACCAATGCATATGCACACCGAAACGAGCCCAACCACATTGCCGTGCAACAAGATGTCGCCCGCCAGGTGACGCTCACCCATCGCCAGCCGGCTGTCCTCGTCCTCGTCGCACCCGATGCGGTGGTCGCGCGTCACCTCGACACGCGCGGCGGCGACATCCACCACCGCCTTGACTGCGCCAACGTTGGCGATTGTCAGCAGCCGCCCCGTCTGGATCGCGACGGTCGCCGTGGCGCCCTGCTCGCGCGAGATGCCCGGGCGCGCGGGGCCGCCCTGGAGGCGCAGGGACGCAGCCAGGAATGCCGCCGTGGCGGCGGCGCGCACGCGCTCGGCGTAATCCGCTGTTGTCGCCGCGCCGCGCTCGGCGCCGTCAAGCAGCGGGCGCTTTGGCATTCGTCGCGCGAGCTCTTCAGGCAAAAGGCGCGCCGCATGGCGACCGGCGTCGGGGCCGCCGTGGCCGTCAATGACCGCCCACAAGCGCCAGTGGCGAGGCGGCGCGTCATCGGCGCCCGCGACCGCGCCCGGCTCCTGGACGACCACAAAGTCTTCGTAGGCCGTCTGCTGCTGAGCCTTCGATCGAGAGATAGGCGAGGACCCAACACGTGCCCATGAGGGGTGCCGTCATGGTGCTTGGGGCCAGCCAGCGTGCCCGGAGAGACTGAGCAGTCACGCCCTGCTATCAGGCGTACCTGTGAAGTAATGCAGTCCATCAGACGGATGGCCTGTGCGCGCCGCTGCTTGACGTAGAGGGGTCCATCATGATTGCTACAGTAGCATGGGGCATTCACCACCGCTCCGCTACCGCAAGCGAGCAACGCAACCGTGGACTCTTTATGTATTATATGCGCGTAACGCACGCTGGCTCAGGATGTAATGAAGCGCGCCTTGCAACCTCCCGTTCTGTAAGAGCACCGCTCACAATGTTGTACAAGGCTTTTCAAATTGAAATCGTCAAGGCGCCAGCACATGTGGGTACGTTAGGAATGGGCAACACCGCCACTGGCGTTCGTCACCATGTCGCCGGCACTGCAGAAGGCTGATGCGCCGTGGTGATGCACCATGCGGCAAAGGGTGAGGGCCGGATGAGGACTTGTAACGATGCAGCGTCCAACTGTCATGGCTCTGCTAACCTGCAATACAGCAGCTTGCCTCAACGCACTGGCGCTCATGGGCGCAGATCCATTACACGTGGCTGGGCCACGCACGGCACACGCCAGCACCTCCATGCGTGCTGGTCAGTTGTCCCGCCCGCAGAACGCAAGCGGGGGTAGAAGGGTGCAGCTGTGGTCTTGGGAAGTGGCCGTGCTGCGCCTGGGGGATGCACGCTTTTGTGCCTGGCCTGCCCGCCTGACGAGAGGCAGGGGCCATGAGTCTGGCAGATTGCATCAGCGCCTCCTGGCGGGCAGCTCGCCTTCCCACGGTGGCAGCAGCCCGGCTGCTGCACAACCCTGATGTCCCTGCGAAATGTGCACATGTGTGGTATGGTGCAGGACAGCGGTCTGGCAGCCGGCAGTCAACACACACATGCATTGCATGGGCTCGCCAGTGTGCGCTGGGGCCGCTGACTTTTGAGATCTGTGCTTCTTGAGCGTTGGCATCAAGGCCCAATTGTGCTCGCACGCATGCTCAGCTGTGGGTTGACCGCCTGGTTGAGCACCCTAATGCCTGCTGTACATCACACGCCATCGCCATCCTGTTACAGACAAAATTCGGTCGAGCGTAACAACAGGATCCAAGGACGCTGTGCTGGGCGTGTTGTGCTAGCACCCACAGACGCCGGCGCGGCAAGGAGGTGGCTAGGTTGTGCATCGAGGTATCACAAAGCTTTGGAATGCATGCCACTAGCGCGCCGTGGCGCAGCCATGCGGGGCAAGGAACGTCGGCAAGAGCCGTGAGCCGTTGCGGTCGCGTGTCAGGTGCTGAAAAACACCGCCTGTCACAATAACATTGAAAGCAGATCCATGTAAGACGGAACAAAAACATGCATCACCAGCCACAGGCCTCCTCCGCGGGTGATGTGGTTGTGTGTGCTCAACGGTGCATGCTGCGTCCATCGCAGTGGCGACGTGGAGTCTTCGCAGTTGGTGCCTGGCCGCCTCTAGGCCAGCGCTGCTGCCCCCACTACTGCTGCCCGTAGTGCTGCTGGTGCTGCTGCTGGGGGGGCTCATGGTGCTGCTGCTGCCCGTAGTACGCAGGCGGGCCGCCGTATGGCCCACCACCCGTCCCTGGGTAGGGCGGCATGGCCATCATGGCGCCGCCAGGCGGGAGGGGCGGCATCGGCATGCATGCCGCAAACGGCATGCTCATCGCCGCTGGCGGGGGCATGGGCATCATCGGGTGTGGCGGCAGGTGGTGCGGGTGGGGGTGCTGGTGCTGATGCGGCGGCAGCGCCGCGTGCGGGTGCGGCGGCGGCAGCAGCCCCTGCTGTTGGCCGTCGCCCGCCGGGCCCCAGAAAGCGGGCCCACCGGAGCCAGGGAAGGGCGGCGGCCCCGAGTGCGCCCACGGCGGCGGCGGGGCGCCGCCATGGCC